GGCAGTGAGGATGCCATGATGTGAACATGTTCTGCCCTGTCCTGGATGTGCTAACAGAGCTGAGGTTGGATCTGGGACTCTCTGAAAGCTTTCTCTTAAGAAAGGCTGTGGACTCTCTGTGCTCTTGAGTTTTAGGAAGATCCATATTGTGGAAATAAGAAGCTTTTCTTTACAATCCTCGGGAATCTTACCTCCTGATCATTATATAGTGAGTATGTTAAAGGTTTTAAGCCACACAGGTATCACTTATACAGAAATTCAGATTTAAATTCCTTGACAAACTATGTCTAAGCAGACCAGCATCTAAAATCTAGCCATTTCCTTGGGATAATCGGAAGAAGCTGAAGGACCTACCATTTTAGATGAGTTAGGTGGTGATAACCATGAGCATTTATAACATTATTTTAGAATTGGCCCTGTGAGTTTTAAGACACAGAACTGAATGTACTGCCAGATATTTTGCAGGAGTCACAGATGTGAAAGAGAAGTCTGTACACACACATGCCCCCTCCCAGCACCCAAATGGAACACATGAGTTAAGCCTTCTGGGTTTGACTATTTTTAGAGAAATGGAGGTGAGGCCAGGAAATACTTCTTGCAACATTTTTATTACATAACACAAAAATTGTTTGTTATAATAATGATGTATCCTATATTGTGATTTACCCTACTGATTCATCTCACTTTTTTCTAACAAAGGGCAGAGTTTACTTCCTAAAATTTGAGAACTAACACATGGTACACAGGCAGGGGCTAGATCTGGCAAAACTCAAAATACAAGCAAGATTATTCAACATTTCATTTGTGTGCTGTTTGTGTTCATGGCTCAGGTTGTGCATAGAATAATGTGCCGCAGAACTGCCAGCCTGACTCTTCAGGATTTATAGTATATACTATAAACTGTTACTTTTATTTATTTGTGCCCGGATGCTTGTGTGGTGGTCGGAGAACACATGGAAGAGTTGCTTACCTCATTCCACCGTGCAGATTCCAAGGATTAACTTCAGGTTATCAGGCCTAAATATTTTCAGTCTTTGCAAAAATACTAAGTCTGTTCTGAGTCTCTTTCCCATTTGACTAGTTCATATGTTATAT